TTTATGGCCAGAGATCATGGCATTTCACCTAAGATTATAATGTTTGCTTTTTAAATGAAGTTTCAGTTATGTAATTAAGTCCCAGAGACCTACTGTGCACCATGGGGCCTGTAGTTAACCAGCCTTTATTGTGTACTTAAAAACTTGCTATGCCAAAACCGGTTTGGCTCAGTGGATAGAGCATCGGCCTGCAGACTGAAAGGTCCCGGGTTCGATTCCGGTCAAGGGCATGTACCTTGGTTGTGGGCACATCCCCATTGGGGGAGGTGTAGGAGGCAGTTGATCGATGCTTCTCTCTCATCAATGTTTCTAGCTTTCTATCCCTCTCTCTTCCTCTCTGTAAAAACTCAATAAAATATATTTTTTTAAAAAAACTTGCTATGAGGGTGGATCTTATGTTAAATGTTCTTATCACAAAAACAAAGAAGAGGGCAGGAAGAAACTTGTGGAGGTGATGACTATGCTTATGGTATTGATTACGGTTATAGTTTCATAACTCATCAAGTTGTATACATAAAATGTATAAATTTTGTATGCCAATCGTACCTCAGTAAAGTGGTTTTTTAAGTCAGAACTCTGGGGTTAAGCATTATCTTGTTAATTTTGTGTCAGCTACTTTAAAACTCAACCAGAAGTAGAAAGAGTGATTGTATAAACTAGTGAGTGGTAACCATGAAGTATGTGTGCTAAATGAAAGGAAAACAGCGGAGAGGCACTGAGGCAGCTGAGGCAGAAGTGCCCAGCTCTGCAGGCTTTTTGACCTCTAGCTCCAGGGGAGGGTCTCAAAATAACAGACACCCAAGATGGAAATGCCACCCTGTCCAGGTGCCCCAGCCACCGGTGCTCTGCTTCCATCACGCCTGTCATGTCCATGCCCGCACACGGCAGCCCCCAAGCACCCACCCCGGCCAGAACCCAGCACTGAAAGGTTGCCCCACGCAGGGGCCAGGGTGTCCTGGACTCACTCCTGCACTGCACGCCTTCTGGGGCAGCTATGCTCCTCCCAGGGCAGAGAGTCTCACCCATCCTGTATCCTTTACAAAAATGCACCCTGACGTTTGTGGATTGCTTGGATAATTTGACCCAGAATGGAATCTTGACCCTAAATGACCCTCCTATCTGAAAATTTCCTGTTTCAGTTTAAGGGAGGGAACAACTTCATCAGAAATTGTCCAGCTTGTGCAGGAGGCAGGGGCTTGAAGAAGGAAGAGCTTATGTAAGCTTTCCAAGGGCTTTCCTGCCCACCCTCCTCGAACTGTTCCAGCTCGTGAGCTGGGCAGGTCACAGGAGTGGCCAGAAAGAGGACAGGACAGAATTAGGTAGAAGGTGTGAAAGGTCAACCTGCCCACAAATGCCTTTGTTGGGTGTGTGTGTGTGATTAGTTACTGAATAAATATCACTTCCTTGTTGGTCTGCAAAACATGAAAGTACCCACAAGTTGGTAAAATATATATTTTATTTGTTCATACAAAGAAATAGTATCAATTACCAGAATTTCATTTTCCTAGAAACGTCTTTCTCTGTGTAAAATTAGATTGTGTTAGACATAGGACAAAATACGTGATTTCATTTTTGCACATGTCGGCTACTCTAACATCCAGGTTACAGGAGGCGCCGATCGAATTTGCACAGTATTTAGATTATGAGGCTGAATGAAATGCAGTCATAAATTAATGTTACAAAAGTGAAGAAAAATTGAACCACACCTTTAAGTTTTAGTGACCATCCTTTTTGACAAACCGAAAGGAAAAAGAAAAGACAATGACTTCTGCGTCAGCGTTTCAGATACAAATGTTAAAGTAGAACCTTGGTTTTTCTTTCTTTTGAAAACACCCTGGCAGGATCTGAGACTGTTCCTCCAACTGTCTCAACTTTATCTGTCACTCAAAAGTACCTCTGAGGGAATCCCAGGAGACAACTTCTCCCCCTCCATCATCCAATGCTGTCCCTGCACCTAGATACCTTCCAGGTGCCACCTACCAAGTCAACAGACCACCGCACAAACACGAAGAGAGGAACAACACAATCCTCCAACTTTTTTGTTCATGTTTTTGTTTTTAATGAGAAAGGAACAAAACTGAGAGGAATAAAGTGTCCCAATGACTACCAGAGTGTTTCCTGTAAACTGGAGGGAACACAAGACACATGCCAGGACAAACTGCCAATATGAGCTGGTGTTTGTCTTGTCTTCTGGCAGCTGAGGTTAAGCTGGTGGCCTTGCAGTTTGCTAGACCAGGAAGGAACTCAAGGCTTCAGTGTGTAGCCTAGATTCTCTGAGAGCACGGGCCCTGCGACAGCTTTCACATGGCGGGTGTCACTGTGGGCAGAGGCCCTGTCCAGATCAGTCAGAACTGCAAGCTCACAGACCCCTATGAGCAGATACACAGGAAGTCTGATTTATTTGTTTTACACAGAAAAACTTGCTCTGGTCCTTCAGTGCTAATTATCCACATCTGTTGGGATTCAAGGACTTGACCCAGAATAGAATCTTGACCCACTTCAGTGTGTATGACTAAATGACCCTCTTTCTATCTGAAAACTTCCTGTTTCAGTTTTAAGGCAGGGAACAAACAACTTCATCAAAAACTGTCCGGCCTAGAGAGAAGGCAGGGGCTAGAAGGAGGAGGAATTCTACGTTGTGAGGGCAGATCTTGGGAGTGTCCAGAAAGAGGACAGGACACAGTTAGGTGGAAGACGTGAAGATTGACTTTTACTTTATACTGTAACTGAAAAGGTGTTCTCAGTTTTATTTCAAATGAGCCATCTTTATATATATTATTTATTTCAGATAGGGATAGAAACATCGATGAGAGAGGATCATTAATCAGCTGCCCCCTGCATGCCCCACCCTGGGGATCTAGCCTGCAACCTGGGCATGTGCCCTAACCAGGAATGGAACCGTGACCTCCTGGCTCACAGGTCAATACTCAACCACTGAGCCATGCTGGCTAAGCAAGCAATTTTCTATTATTGTTATTATTATTATTGATTTTTAGAAAGAAGGGGGGGGAAACACATTGATTTGTTGTTCCACTTATTCATTCATTCATTCAATTCTTGATTCTTATATGTTCCCTGACCGGAGATTGAAACTGCAACCTTGGTGTACTAAGCCATGGCTCAAATGAGCCTTCTCCTGGAAAGATGCACAACCAGTTGGCGCCCTATGCAGATATCTTTGTACCTAAGCAACAAGCGGGGGAACCATGCTGAGATGATGGCAATACCTTAAGCACAGGTGCTGCCCTACTTGGTAGCGGCAGTAACAAAGCTGGGCAATGACTAGAACATCTTGGGAATGCAGAGCCCCGATTCCCTTCCTCCCACACAGACCTAGTGGGAACGCTTTTGTTGTTAAGCATAACCTAGCTATATCATCACCTAAAGACCAGTGACATCTCTGATCAGTTTCTAAAGATGAATTGTTTTTCTCTCATACAAATTTTCTAGCTCTATGGGGCAAGTTACGCCTTACAGCATAAAAAGCGTCCTTTGTAAATATCACAACCCAACTATTATGACAATATGTGTATCTTTCCACATACACCTTGAAGGATGTATAACTCAAATAACAGTTCTTTTATGGTAGAAGCATCCTGGTTTAGAAAATTGAGGATAAAGTGAATGTGTCATGATGTGATATTGCTATGTGGTTACCCAATCGCCATTAACTAGTCATCACAAAAGATCCCCGACTCCTCTCTCAACAGAGAGGTGTGGGGAGAGCATTCTGCGTCTGTAGCAGGGATTCCGGCAGCCCCTGCGAGGGCCAGGCTGAGACAGGGATGGCTGTACATGCATCAGGCAGCACGAGGCCACTCTCCCAGCCTGTCCTTGCAGGGGCCACTCCTGCACCTCACTGTTTGCTGTTGGCTATACAGACCTTATTGTCAATCTGCGATGAGCTAGGAGTTCCAGGAGAGGGGTCCCAGACATGAAGCAGGACTTCCCCTCCCCTGCTGGCCACCTGTCCTCTGTGGGTCTTCTCTCTTCTCCCACTGGGCTGTCAGCCCATTGAGATGTGGCCCTGTACGTCTGGCTCTGCACTTGGCAGCACCTTGGTGGACACTGATGGCGTGGGATGCACCTGAGCCCTTTGGGTCTCAGCATTGGGCACCCTGGGTTTGTGCCTATGGCTCTGCTCGCCTAGGAGATTCTTTGGTGTGTCAAAGCAGAACTGTCTGCCTGGAGGGCAGAGCACGGTGCGCTCATGCACATGGAAGAGACCGTCTTTATTTCTAAAGCAGCACCCGAGCATCTCACACACGTGACCTGGGAAAGAGGGGCTAACATTTGCATACACTTCAAGCTGGTTAATGACACAGGAACTAGGGCACAAGAAGAGGCAGGGTCATCCTTCACACTCAGAATCTGAAGCTCACGGACCCTGGCGTACAGGCTCTAAGGATGTGGATGTCCCTGCTGAGGCGGTAACCCCACGTGCTGAGCAGGGAGAAACTTTAGCACCAGGGCCTGGCATCTGCGTCCTTGGGAAGGGCATCCCGCAGAGAGGAAGCTGCTCCCCAGGGCCCCGCTTTCCGAGGGCAGCCGTACAGAGGCGGCTTCTGTGTGGTACCCAGGCAGGAAGCGGGGGTGTGAGACCCACTCGGGGGGCGGCAAGTGAATTCAGACAGCGATCGAAGGCTGCGTACCCGTAACAACAAAAAACTCAAGTTGTGCTTTTCTTCTTTTTAAATATAACGGGGAAGGAGGGAGAACACAGAAGCACCATCCATTGTGAGGAGGAAAAAAAAAAAAAAAAAAGGACAAAACATTATAGAGTTAAACACTTTGGAATGTTAAGAGATTATGAAGGTAACTCTACAGAGTGCGGCTAGGCAGCTTAGTGAATTAATTGCTTATGAATTAAAAATAAATTATTATAAAATATATTTCTGTACATTTTACATACATATAATCTCTCTCAATATATAAGCCAAGTGGTCAACGACACGGGCCCGGGGGTAAGGGATGGGGGGAGGAGGGGAAGAGGGGAGTCTTCAATCCCAGCCGAAGTCGTGCCCGGTCATCTGGTAGAACTTGCGGTTGAAGGGCCGGTAGAAGTCGCGCAGCCTGCGCACCACGTCGGGGTCGATGTCGGGGTGCGTCCTGCCCTTGGTCTTGCCCAGGCAGTGGGGCTTGCTGCTGCCCTCGGCCTTCTTGAGGCAGGGGAAGCCCTTGGTCTTGTTGAAGTAGAAGTGCTTGTCGGTGATGATGCGCTTGAGGCCCAGGAAGTCCTGCACGCGGCCCAGCTCGCCGGCCGGGTCGCTGATGAGCCGCTCGCCGCTCACGAAGAGCATCTGGCGGCGCGGGAAGTGGCGCAGCCAGAGCTCCAGGTGCTTGGCGTAGATGCCGATCTGGATGGCGCTCCACGACGTGTCAATGAGGCCCGCGCTCCGGTTCCGGAACGTCAGGCTCTCGAAGGTGGGGATGTCGGGCCGCTTGGACAGCGTCTGCGTGTAGTCCGAGATGGCCCTGGTCACCGGGTCGCGCACCACCACGATGAGCTTGGTGTCCTTGGACATGGCCGAGATGCGTGCGGGCGCCTCCCGCGTGACGAAGTAGCTGGGCGTCTTCTCCATGGTGATCTGCCCGTCCAGGGTTCTGGGCATCAGGTCCCTGAGGGAAGAGAGCAGGCCAGAGGCAGGTCAGAAGGTGAACCTCTTTGGCCACACCTCTCAATGTCAGCATTCCCAACCCCGGCCGCCTCCTCGTTGGGAACAGTTGTAGAAATACAAAAGAAATGCAAGCAGAATTTCTGAGCTGAAAGACACATTACTGTCCCACCTGAAGTTTGGAGGCCAGACACTAGGTACCTAAAGCATTAAAGCACCTTCTAGGAGGTGAGCAGTGAGATGCCCATCTCTCTAAGGTACCCTCCTTCTGGCACCTCTCCCTCCTTTCCCAGGGTTTCCTGCTTCTACCCTCTCCCAAACTCTGATGCCAGAACCAAGTGCCTCTGGGTATGTGCCTTCCCTAAATAGTAACACATGGGGTCCCCCAAGATTCCTCTGCCCACAGCCCTCACTGGCCTGCCTCCAGGGGCTCCCCAAGCCTGGGCCAATGAGCTGTGAAAACATGTCCCCCTTGCCCACCAGGCTGCACCGGCTTCATCACAGGGATCAGACAAAGCCCCTTTCCCCAGAAAAGCATCCTTGTGAGGCACGGCAGCCAAAACTCTGGGTGTAACTAGCTGAAGCATAAACTGTGCAAACTTGCCAAGAAATTCCAAAAACACTATAGATTCCATTTTTTAAAAAGGGACTTGTGTGATATCCAAATGCAGCACTAATTTAAGCAAAAGTGTGTAGACAAACTTGTTACAACCTACAATAGATGCAGGCTATGACAACTGGACCAAAATCCAGCTTCTTGGTAGCAATTAGCACTGAAAAAAAAAACAAAGAAAAAACAAACAAGGACTCAATGATGGAAGACTGTATCTTATTTGCTCTCTGAGCCTCAGCATCCTAATATGTGAAATGGGAATAATTCCGCTTACTTTATTCAGTTGTTATGAGGTTTATAAAACCAAAGCAGTTTGGCTTAACAGTTAAGGAATGTGAGCATGGCTATCAGAAGCCTGGGTTCAAATCCCAGCCCTGTCACTTATAAGCTGTGTTTCCTTGAACAACTTACTCAACTGTTCTGGGCTTCTTTTCCCCATCTGTAAAAATGAAGATGCTAATGCCTATCTCAGGTGAGCTTAATTCAAATTAAAATAATTAATGATCATAACATGTTTTGACATGTCTGTCCTATGGTATATACCTAATATATAATCATCACTATAGTGTTCAACACACAGGTTCTTGCACATGATAGGAGCAAAGTTGAGCATGTGTGTGAACAGGCTCATCCAAAGGATATGTGTTAACTAAGTGGATACTCAGTTTTGGTCACAAATGTACAATTTTCCATTAGCTATGAAATAGATTTCTTTTTTTATTTTTAATTAATTTATTTATTTTTACATATTTTATTGATTTTTTTTTTGCCTCCCTCCCTCCCTCCCACACATCCTCTCCCTCCCCAGAGTTTTAAGTCCATTGGTTGTACTTATATGCATGTATACAAGTCCTTCGGTTAATCTATTATCAACCGATTTCTTTTTTAAACAAAAATTTTTTTTAAATCTTTATTGTTGAAAATATTACATATGTTCTCTTTTTTCCCCACCAATTGATTCCTACCTGAGGCCAGGAATTTAAAAAAAAAAATTTCCACATCATTTTTGAGCAAATATTTACCTCTCAGCAGGACATTCTAAACTTCCAGCTTCAAGCCACTCCTAATCTACTGAGACCTAACTCCAGTATTTGCACATTTATGGAAATGATGGCATAAACTCACTCACACTGCCAGCTAGGGGACTCCCTCCCCCTCTCCCACCCCAGCAAAGGAGGTGCTAGCCCTGGAGGCCTGTCTGCGCGCAGCCCTGGCTGTGGCCTAAGCTGATTGACCCACTTTGCCCGTTAATCACTTAGATTAATGTAGCCACGTCAGCAGGCTAATGTGATGGAGGATTAAAGAGAATCCAACTCTTGACTTATTTGCATTTCACCCAAAAGCAGGGCGATTCAGATAAAGTCCAATTTTTTGCCATGTTGAGCCTCTGCAACCTGACAGTCTACAAAACTACAAGAGGCTCATATTCAGAATTAAAGTGCTACTGTCTTGTTGAAGGAAACCTAACCCTCAAAGTTGTTCAGAGCCATGCCGGGGTGGGTTTGGTCTGTCCTCAGAGAGTCCCTCTGTCCCAGCCTGAGCTTTTGAAACCAGGCCACTGGTTGGACCCTCAGCATCTCCCCTGATTCAGGGGTGTGGCCCTGCATAGGTCACAGGTCATTAACCTGTCCATGCCTCAGCTTCCTCGTTGGAAATATGAGAAACACGATACTGTCCACCACTGGTGTTTTCAAGATGATTGTGAGCCTAACCTTGGTATCAGGCCTGGAGCTAGCTGTGGTCTCCTGTTGGCAGGATCTGGGCAAGAAAATAGGAGGTAAGGATCATGCACGGATCCCTCACATGGTCCTTCTGCACAGACAGGCAATGGGGAAGCTTGGCTCCCGTGGAGGCCAAGATGTGGGACAGCAGCCTCTGCCCTCAGCCAGCTTCGGCTCCAGAACAACCACAGAACCTTCGCCGCCTGCCTTCCCACAGCACCAGGGAAAAGCCTGGCAGGTTCCGCACACAATGGCTACCTGGCAGCTGGGAACACATAGCACACCAGAGGATTGGTGCAAAGGACACAGGAGAGCCTCCATGGCCTTCAGTCCAGAGGCAGAGCCTCTTCAACCATAAATCAGCCTCTCTGAGCATGGGCAGACCACGGGTGGCTGACTGCCTGCAGCCACCCAAGCCATCCTGGGCCCCAGCTCCAGGGGACCCCTCTCCCCAGGATGGTTTACATTTGTACACATAGATCGGAAAGCTCAGGGACCTCAGGACTCCTTCATCATCACACTAACAGCCAGGGAACCACGGCTGTGACCCCAACTTCTCAGCCCTGGTCCAGCCGAGGCCCCACCGTCCATCCCCTCGGAGTGCTTGGTGGCAGCCAATGGGTGAGATGCATAACTAGGTTCCCATTATTTCTGCAAACACTTCCCCTGCCCCCCTGCTGGCTTCCCAGACGCTTCCAGGCAGGTGAGGAGAACAGACACACCACCCCAAATGCGTGTCTTCGGCGCAAGGATCAGTGAGGCTGGTTGTGTGTAAGACTCAGCGGACACGGAGAAGCTCTGGACACCAAGCAGAAGGTATCATTGCATAGGAGGCATTCACATTCACATCTACAGGGACATGTCCATCAATGAGGGTGTCCTCTGTGCCAGGAATAAGGTATAAGTGAATCTTTAGAAATCCCCTACAGAGAGAAGGCGGGACTGCAATCTGCACAGCAACCTTAGCCCTGTTTCTTGTTTTTCCCCCTCGCCTCCAGCATCTTCTGTCTTTAGTGGAGAGGGTATCTAACTTGTGGTTTAGGCCATTTGGGGGAGTTGCTCAGTGCACAGCAGGTATACATACATGATAATAAGTATTCCTGGGTCTCTCCTATGTGTACAGCAGGAGGTATACATGTTAATAAGTGTTCGTGGGTCTCTCCCATGTGTGCAGCAGGTATACATGGTAATGGGTGTTTCTGGGACTCTCCTATGTGTACAGCAGGAGGTATACATGTTAATAAGTGTCCCTGGGTCTCTCCCATGTGTACAGCAGGAGGTATACATGTTAATAAGTGTTCGTGGGTCTCTCCCATGTGTGCAACAGGTATACATGGTAATGGGTGTTTCTGGGACTCTCCCATGTGTACAGCAGGAGGTATACATGTTAATAAGTGTTCCTGGGTCTCTCCCATGTGTGCAGCAGGTATACATGTTAATAAGTGTTCCTGGGCCTCTCCCATATGTGCAGAAGGTATGCATGTTAGCAAACTTCTGTTTGTTTTTCTTTGTTACTCTGTCTTTTCTTAGAAAGGATCTCAGCCAAGAGCTCAGAAGGGTGGAGGGGAATTATTTCTCCTCTACACAGGCACTGGGCCCCAGAGAGGCTGGTGTCTCAGCACCCCTGTCCCCCACAAGCCCCCACCACCACCCAGGGGACATGGAGCAGACTGAGCAGTGTAGGGACTGCTCCTGGCACAGAACCTTCGGACAGTCTTGGCAAGCCCCCTTCTCCCCTCCGTAGCTTTTCTCCCACCACCCGCCACCCACCACCTTTGGTCCTGGAGCAAACTCCTTTGTATAATACTTGCTTCCCTTTCCCATCCTTGCACTGGCATCGCTCGCCTGCCCTCAGGCTCAAAACCGCTCTGAGCACAACAGTGACTCAGAGAAGAAGTCTGAGCCTTGGCCAAGGGCGAGCCCATCTCGTGGGTCCCGCACGCCCATCCCAGCAGCGGTCCAGCCCAGAGAAGCCTCCGGAGCGAGCCCGCAGGGAGGTTGCAGGTTAATTGAGCTGCTCATGACGAAAGCCAATTTCTCAAACTGATAGCCACACCTAATAATCATCTAGTGCTGGGAGCTTGCAGAGGGCTTTCACAGCATTATCTGATTTCACTGCGCACAGCAAGCCTGCGAGGCAGCACTGCAGCCCCAGCTTGCTCGTGAAGAAACGAGGCTCAAGGAGAGAGTGACCTGCTCAGAGGGGGGTCATTGCCTGCACAGCAGGAGCTGGGACCTGGCTTCAGCCCTTGGGAGGTGCCCCCTTCCTTTTGCCATGACCTTCTCCTCTCAGCCCCCTGTGGTTTTCTTCTTAATATGACGAGGAGCACCCAGCACCGCACACCTGTCCTCCCCTTAAATACCTATTTTTTCTCTTGTTCATAGATTAGGATCTTAATAATAGGTATTTCAGTGCTAGAATCAGATGACTGCAATCATAATTGTTCAGAAATGAGCCAGACTCTGGAACAACAGACCTCTGAGGTTCACGTACTCCTGAGTCTGTGGTGTGGGGACTCTCTGCAGTCATTGCAAAGCCCTCCCCCACTCCCCCGCCACACACACACATACACCCACACACACAACACACACACACACACACAAACACACACCCACACCCTGCCCGGCCTCCTCCCTCCTTACATGGAGGACACCTCTCTGGCACCTGGC